GATGACAGAGGCCAATCAGCAGCTAATTACTTCAATCTAGAGCTGGTTTCATCTCTGAGGGAATGTGTGCTGTAACAGCAAATGTTTGTTTCTGTGAGGGGTCATGCATTTGTAACTGTCTGTACATGCATGCATTTATTCATATCATTCATGAGTGAGTGAAAGACAGCTTTTAAGATATTTTAAGCGAGTTGTCCATATTTATGCATGTGTGTGTTAGACGGGGAGGGCAAATTACTTTTTTTTTTTGTTAATTTAACAGTTGCAGTTTTTTGTTTTTTGGGCATGATTGGCTCACCACTGACCTTGGTGGCAGTGGGGGGGCTTTAGCGCTCCTTGAAGAAGAAAAGAGGCTTGGGCCGCCCGCTGTAAACAAAGTTGACTTGCCGACAGATGGATTGAATGACAGAGAGGCTAACTGAGCCAGGAACGGGCCTGGCAGCATCGCACTGAGCAGAGAGAGAGAGAGAGAGAGAGAGAGGGAGAGAGGGAGAGAGGGAGAGAAAGAGAGAGATAAAGGGGCGGGGGGGGAGAGGAGAGAAGAGGTGGCCAACAGGAGAGGAGGTGTGAACAGGTGCAGGGCCGCTGAAGGAAGAACCAGCAGATGGAGAGAGACACAGCCAGTTTAGTTACAGGAAAAAAAGGGTGGGAGGGAAAAGAGGAGGGAGGAGGGAGAGATGGAAACAGCAGAAAAAAGGATCGGAGCAGTGATGAGAACGCTCTGGATGGATAGATGGACAGATAGAAAGATGGGGTGGGCACGGAGTAAACGAGCGGTGAGGCTGCATCAGGCCCCCTCTGTTTGATGCGTTTGTTTCATAAAGTAGAGCAGCGAGATGAAGGGAGGGGTGTCGGAGGAAAAATGTGGGAGCAGAGTGATTGACTTACATCACCCCAAGGTTTAATAAAAATGTGCTAAAACACATTGAGGTGCATGTGAGAGAAAATTGTGTGACACCGTGTGCGGTCTGCTACACGAAACAATTCAGATATTTATTGTACGCGGCACCAATGATACGCAGCACCGCAAATGTTCAATATGTCACTTTATTTTCTCTGGAGTGCACTCATCCTTTGTTGGCAGTGTCAGTTAGATAGGCCTACACAAGGCCTCTGTCTCACTGTCTCACTGTCTCTCAGTCACACACACAAACAAGCACACAAACACGAGCAGGAATCATCTTTGTAGTTTCACGTATCAAACTGTTGAATATTAATGTAGTCTGATTGATGCAGTCTATCATAAATAGCTGTGGATGCTCTGGAATTCCTCCACAAAAATGAATCATCACGAGTGTCACCATTTTGAGTAGTTGAAATACGAGCAAATAGTTAACAGTTGTAATTTTATAGTACAGTATCAGCTCATTACAATTCCCCCTGTCGACGTCAGGGTTCGTCAGTTTAAACAATTGGAAATCTGTATAAAGTTAAATGCTCTTAATTTATATATACAGAGATTATTTTCATTTTCATTTGTTTTGTTGATACTGTTAATTAGATTAGTCAGTTACAAGCAGTCTAAGATATTACAGGTAATACACAGATCAATCTGTAATTGTCTGCTTATAAATGTTACATTTAAAACAATACTCAATTAAAAAATGTTAATTATCTATATATTCATGAAATCAATAATATATAGCTGCTATTATTATTATTATTATTATTATTATTATTATTATAATTGGTTTAGCTATTAGAACAGATGGTCCTCTGATAAAAATGGTAATATTCGTCTTCCTCCTCAGCAACTTTTTGCAGGGATCATCAGTGTCTTGCATCAGTCTTTGTTGCGGACAAAGCTTGTGTGTTTGCATGTTTGTGCTATAGGCTGTTCACCTGTATGTTAATTTCACACCTGTTATTTTCACAGTAACATCGCAGAGCATAAATATGAATATGCATTGATTTGAGGAAGAGGTCTTTTTTTAGTTTTTGTGTATGTAATTTCTGTACAATATCTGTCTCTACCCCTTTACCTTGTTTTTGAACTTCATGCTTCCAAAAAGTTTGAAGAGCGCTTCACGAAGGATGTGGATATTTTTTTAATTATTTGAAGTTACAACAAAAAAAGTGTGTGTGTGTGTGTGTGTGTGTGTGTGTGTGTGTGTGTGTGTGTGTGTGTGTGTGTGTGTGTGTGTGTGTGTGTGTGTGTGTGTGTGTGTGTGTGTGTGTGTGTGTGTGTGTGTGTGTGTGTGTGTGTGTATACTGTATGAATTCAGTCTGTGTGTATCTTGGTGATATTGTGTTTATTGGGAGAGTATAGTCTCTTTTACTTTAGTCCAAACAGCGGTCAGTGGTGCCTGGCATTGGCGAATGTCTCCAATTCCTCCAAGTCCACCGTCTGACTCCAATTTGTGCTCGTTCTCTGATAAACCGCGGCATTTGGTGGTTCTGGCGTGGGATGCCGGCTGCACCATGGGGTGCTGCAAACTCCGTGCTTGGTCAGGCCCTGGCACCCCACATCTAATGGGCAACAGCTTGAATAGTGCCCACTTAGGCAGGCAGTGCAGACTGGGCCCCCTCTTCTTCCTCGCTGCTCCAGCCAGCTAGCCAGCCAGCCACCGCCTCTGCCACCTCCCACTTACCCAGCAGCCACTGTACCTGGCCGCAGCCCCAGAGCCATTCCAGTCTACCTTAGGCCCCTGGCCCATGCAGCTCTCGCCATACTTATCAAGCTGTCCTACAGTGCATCAGGCCAGGCATATACAAACAGGCCCAGCTATCCGCTAACTGAACACTCAGTCTATTGCCTCCTAGGCCCAAACAAGAGTTCCTGCCACAGGCAGCAACCCAGAGCTCATTCACCAATTAGCTGGAAGGCAGATTATTGTCCAGGGAGAATTATCCAGCTCCAGCCCCACATATTCAGCCTCTGCTCTACCCGTCGCCCTTAACACTTGCTCCAGGGCTTGGCTCTCCACTGATATCTCTCCTTTGCTTTCTCGTTTTTATGCTTTAATTTGTCAATGCTCATCAGCAGCCATTTTGTGACAGCGTTTTGCAAGTAAACATGTTGCGTTTGATTGGGGATACAAAATGGCGTAGGGGAAAGAACCACATAACTTAGCCTGACTTCCTAGCTTTGATTTGATCCTGGATGAGGCTTTCAGGCCTTCGTCACAGGGATTTGAATCCTCAGGCCCCACTTATTGAACCGAAACTTAGAATCAGCAACCCTGCTCAAGGTTGCCCCATTCCCACCCAGAAATGAAGGCCCCGACTCTGTTCTGTTGTGTACAACTTGTACTTACAAAAACCAAACAGATGCCAAATGTGTAACTCTGTGTTTTTGCTTTTCTATCTTCTTCTGTTTTTCATCACTCTCCTCTTCCTCACCACCACTCTATTGCTGACTGCTGGAACTTTTTGGCGGTCTGTCTGATGCTAATTGGTGGGTAAACAGGTCTGGTGTGAGCCTCTCCCCCCCCACCCACCCCCCATTCGCACACAAACACACACTCATAGACATACACAAATACACACGGCCCCCTGGAACCTCTTGCAGGACCAAATGGCTGGCAACGCCTGCCCGCCATCTCCCGCTGAGCCCTGGTGTGCGCTTTGGTGGCTCAGGCTGCTGTTCAAGCCCAGCGGGGGTTCATTCACTCACACATACACACACACACACTCATACGCATACAGACACACACAGTCTCCTTGTGTCCCCTGCACACCCGCCACCCGCTTTCACACCCCAGACAGCAGGACAGCAGGAGAACACACACACACACGAAGGAACAGACAGACGCGGTCACTTTAGAGATGCAGGCCAAGCGCTGTAGGGGAGAAAAGTTTTCACTTAAACTGGAGAATTCTCTCTTCATTAGCGCCTTTGGACTTCAGGAAGAGTTCTGTTTATTTGTTCGTTTTTTCCTGTCTTTGTAGTTTTTCTTTTCTTTCCTTCGTTGTCTGTTCCTCTGTTGTTTGGGTACATTTGGACTTAGCTGAGTTAGAAAGTTTGGCTCAAACACGAGTAAAATGCAGTGTTGTTCAAAGCCTTCGGTGATAAGCACCTTAGTTTGCATCTTACCTGCACAATTTTGATATCGAGACGAATTAAAGCGGAGATTAAAGTGATTTGATTGCTACCAAAAATATAGTGCTAGTCTGCATTCCTGACTAGCCAAGCACAGTGTGCATTACGAAGTCATACAGTTATTCAAAAATGACCCTTGCATAAGTACAGTCTTCTAAAATATCTAATATCTTAAAATAAGATATGATTGATCAACTGATGTTATGTTGCATGTTTTTTCAGTGCTCAGTGTGGCTATAAACTGAATTATATTAGATGACAAGCAGCTTAAGCAAAGTAATATCACAGAACACATCTTTTTTTTTTTAAACGTTTCTTGAGTCTCAGAACTTCATCCTGGACTTTCAATCTAATCAGTGGATAAAGCTTTTATGATGCACTCGTCTGTATTGACCCGTGTGTGTGTGTGTGTGTGTGTGTGTGTGTGTGTGTGTGTGTGTGTGTGTGTGTGTGTGTGTGTGTGTGTGTGTGTGTGTGTGTGTGTGTGTGTGTGTGTGTGTGTGTGTGTGTGTGTGTGTGTGTGTGTGTGTGTGTGTGTGTGCTGTAGACAGCTGCAGTATCACTCAGGGGTCTTCAAACTGACAGTGGCCTGACGCTTTTACCAGTCTACCCCCCGAGTCTTTTGTGTCATTCTCCTTTTTGTCCTTTCTTTCAGTCTCTTATCGTACGCTGTGTTCTCTCCTCCTGCTTTCACTCTCACCTCTGTGTTCAGTCTTTCTTTTCCACATCAGAAACAGTTGTCAAGTATGATGGAATTTATTAGGAATCTACCGATAAATCATATATGTGCAAGACAGACGTTGTAGCCTACAGTATGTGGAAATGTTTTTTCATGCTCCAGCAGTAGCACAACATGTCACCAAGTGTATTTTTATATAAAATTCCATTGTAAATAGAAAATGTGCATTAATTATTAAAAGAATGATTATTCATCTAACATCCCAGTTGTTTCCCCCAGACAGGACAGAGATGGTGCAGAACGGGCTCATGAGGAGGAAATGGCGTCTGTGACCCTCTCAGCGCGGGAGAGGGAGAGAGAGCTGGCTGTGTTGCTGGAGCAAACAGAGGCTCAACACCAGCAGAGAGGTCAGTGCTTCCAGCAGCGGCCTGGCTTAAAAATACTGTCATGTGTCATAGCTCGCTGTCTCCTCCCTACCTCTTTGAAATTTACCTGTAAGATAGTTAAGTATTCTCTAGGATATCAGTTCTTCAGAAACACATATCTCCTTTCCGCTCTATATTTTGCTTATCAAGGGAGTGCCTTTTAATTTAGTCTTGTGTAGTAGAACCTCACCCTGGATGTCCACTGGATGCAGCTGCACCGTGTTTCAGTTTCGCAGCTCCCTCACATTTCTGTCGCAGTTCAAATGTTCACTGGAAGCGCTTCAGAGGCAGATCGTCTTCAAGCAGTCTGTCCCTCAGCAGCCACATTTTGTTTAGAGTTGTTTTGCCAGCATTTTTTGTTTTACAAGCATATTGAACATACATTTGCACCTCATTTATGATCAATGTGATAGCAGAAACGTTGTGCCTGTAATTAACTTGTTTTAATTACTGTAGCACGGTGTCTTTATCTCCACTTTCTGTCTTTTTCTTACTCATTTTAGTTTTGCAAAAGGAAAATGTTAGCATTCTGTCTCCTGCTATTCAGACTTTTGAGGAGAAGAGACATGAAAAGACAAAAAGTCTTGACCGTTTTGACCACCAATATTTATTTAAATACATCATGAAATATTATATTCTTATCAATAGACAGTAGATATCAGCATTTAGATACATGCACAAAATACATTTTACCCTCCAGTCCTTCGTCTGTGGGCCATTGGCCTGCTAGCTACAGTCCCAGTGGATCGTGTCTGTCAGGTGCAATGGAGCCACATCAGGTGAACCGTGGGTGTCGGACATACTTAAGAACATCTCTACTAGGGCTGTCACAATATCAGCTTTTCAATACATGATTAATAGAATTAATGATATTGGTGAAATATCAATAGAAAAGTTGAAAAAAAAGGCTCTAAATCAAATTCATCTTTAGCTTTTATTGTGTGGTTGTCTCTTTTTAGGCAAATAAATTACACTCAAAACAGTGTAAGTGTAGGGAGGTGATAACTGTACAAAAGCATACAAATATAACAATTGAAAACACTGAGTGAACCACAAAGCAAGAACTTAAAGAAACGGAAATGATTTAAGAGGCGCTGGTTTATTTAGACAATATTATCATATATGTATTATTACCATGCTATAAATATGTTATTATGTTATTATTGCCAGTACTGTACTGTAGACTGCTGTGGCATATTAGTTGTCTTACACGAAGGGGAGTGGGGGAGGGCAGAGACCAGAACAGGACAAAGCGAAACTAAATAGGATGGAGCACACAGAGTCAGAATATCCAGAACTGTAAGGAACAAAACAGCAGAGTTGATCAGGGTCAGCTACAGAATCACAGCTGGAGCTGGGAGGGTTTCAGTCTCTTCCTCAAGGACACCTCAGCAGGGTGGATCTTTGCTGGAACAGGGTCTTGAACCTGCATCTTCCAGTTGAAGGATGGTTTTCCTGCTTACTGTGCCACCGTGCTCCCCACCAACACAACATGGTCAGAGTGGGAGGGGATGGACAGGAACACAAATCATTTGAGCTGAACAAGGCTGAGCTGAAGTGACCTCAAAAGAGCAGAACAGAGCAAAAAAAAAAAAAAAAAAAACAGAAGCCATGAGAGGAGAAGACAGAATAGCAGGGCAGAGCAGAGGGAAGGTGATGGGAGCAGAGCATAGAGACCCAACTCAGAGCTCCCTGTCTGTCTGCACAGCAGAGCTGCTGCTGCTAGCACATCTGTTGCACCATCTGGATTCCCCCCTCTCACCCACCACCCACCCTCAGCCACCCCTCTCCCTCCCTCCCTCCCTTCTCCTATCTTTTTATTTACCTGTGGTTCCCTTCAACAACCAGGGAGCCTGCTGGTACGCAGAACAAAGATGGAGGGTATAGAGGGAGGAATGGATGGAGGGAGGGAAGCGGGGGGTGGTAAACAAAGGGTTTGTTTCTGGCGCGTGTCGGCAGCACACATGTTGTCTAAAGAGAGCTGACATCAGAGCACAGCAGGAAACTGTGGATGGGGAGGGGATGGAGGGGTGGACGTCCTTTAGTAGCTCGCATCACTTCCTCTCCCCGTGCAACCCAACAGACGAGCTGGATAATTAGCTTTCTTGCTCTCCAAATCCCGCCTCTCTGTCCATCCGTTTGTCCTTCCATCCATCCGTCCCCCTCTCCCTTTTTCTCCGCTCCCTCCCACCTTTTTTCAGATTTTTTTTTTCATGTTTCTTTTTTGAGTAAATGCGTACAGAGCAGCCTCTAGATGATATCAGATATTTGTTTCTCTCCGTCCCTCCCTCCCTGCCACGCTTCTTCTCTCCATCCCTCCCTCCCTCATTTTTTCTCTGTTTGTTTCCAGTGCCAGTTCTGCTGTGTTTCTGTGTCCCAGGGTTCTTTTTGGCCTACGCATGGCCAGACGCATTCAAAGCCTGTTCAGCTAATTAGCATTCTTCATGCAACTTTTCCAGCACTGACCAAACTTTGTTGAGTGTACGTGTGTGTGCACGTCTGTGAGTTTGTGTAGTTTATTTTCATGCTCTGTAGCATCCAATTTCTGCCCTCCATGCATTATCTATGGCAGTGATATGGGGACAGAGACTGTATAAAGGGGAATGAAAAAAGGTTAGTGGTAACTCACTTAGAGACACAATGTGAAGCTAGTAAAAAGTGAGTAATAATACATTCAAAGCTAGGGATGAAAAAATCTGTGGACAATGGCCTTTACACCTCTCCCAGCCATAATTTCCTGCTTTTTATATTTGCCTAGCATTTCTGTAGCACATAAAGAGAGAAGAAGTGAGAAATAGAAAAAAGTGTGAAGTAGAATTTCAGCCTGCAGGTAGAAGGTATGTATCATAGCACAGAGATCTAGCATCATGGCTCTTCCTCTTCTCCTTTTTTCTATCTCTTTCTTTCCCCCCAGTATCTACTGTATGCAAAAAAAAAAAAAAAAGGGAAAAAAAGAAACTCTTCTCAAGTCTGAGCTACTTTTCAAAGACTGCAAGTCCTTGGTGTTTTTGGTTTCGGTTGACTGTAACAGAATGCCGGAGCAGGTGGATCATTCCCTCCATCCAAACGGCAGCCATTGTTATTTTAAAAGAGCAGACATATGTTGGAGAGCGGAACGTGGATCATTTCAAAGGAATGATGAAAGCCTAGTGTTGGATTGTTCAGAAAGAGGCCCCCATGAGTGGATGAGGACGTGGCAGGAAGGGTGGAAGGAGAAAGAAAAGCGCTTTCAAACAACAGTCCTCTCTCTTTCTCCATCTCGTTTTACCCTTCTCGCACACTTTATATTTCCTTTCTCTATACTCTGTACTTCTGCTTTTGCTCTGTACATCTCCGGCTGTTGTTTGAACAGTTTTGATTTGTGAATTTTGTGTATGTCGACAAAAGCATTTTTGGGAATACATTCAAAGAGACATATGTATCTCGCTGGTGCTGCAGTATTCGGTACGATAGATTTCATTGTTTAGCTCAGTCCGTAATGTATATGTTTTCTTCTGGTATGTGAGGTCGTTTGGTTGGCCTGCTCTCGGACATATTGCACGTGTTAATAGAAGTACCCTAGATGCTCTTAAGCATTATTTATTACTACTAATACAGTATATTCAGTAGTCCATTGAACCACTATAGCATGAAATTGCAGAAAATTGAAATTTGTTTCTTCTCCTAAATTGTAACTTTGTTGAGTTTGTTGCAAATTGTAAGTTTGATTTTTATTTGAGGATTTCTTCAGACACTTTCTATGTTCTCCGCTGAAATTAAGAGACGGGTATAAAGGACGTATAAAGGTACAAAGGATCACTCAAATCCTAGTCACAGTTTTAATATTCCCATTGTGACAAAGGAACTCTTGGTGGTGCTTCATTACAGTCCTGCATTATACTGTAACTAATATCACCATTTCCCTTTATGGGGTTGAGAACAAGCAGCCACCAATATTGTCTGTCCCACTGCTTTACAATATCACTGACTTGTTTTAATTGATTTGGATTTCTTGTGCCTGTGTAAAAACTGTATTCATAAATGTAATTTTAAATATTTTTTTCATTACACTTAGACAGTGTCGTCTTAATTTTGTTTGTTCAGTGCTGATAAGAAGCAGGTAGAGCAAAGAACTGCCGCCACAGTTTTAGAACAAGTTTCTGTTTAAGATTTGTACAGTAAGCTTAGAAATTGTCTGTTTAGGTTTAAGGATTGATAGTCTATATATAGAGAGAGATATATATTAGATACACTACATGTAGCCTGCTATTTTTACAAACTGGACTGGACCGTGCTCTAATATGACACAGTTGCTCTTAGCAGTTGCTGATGACCACACAGTGTTGAAACCAGACATTGCTTGATGATTATTAATGGATTCACAAAATCTGAGGAAACCGTTTTTGTTGTTGTCTGTGCTACGTTTCTGTATTTGGTTGTGTTTTCTTGCGGTGTGTTGAGTTCTCAGGGCCACTAACAAACAACTTTCCCATGATCGATTACAGTTGGAGAGTTGGATGGTCTGCTGTGTTCCCAGAATTCCCTGATCAGGAAGCTAAAGGACGAATGCTGCGCGCTGGGAGTCAAACTGGAAGAGCTGACAGAAAACAGCAGGTCAGTCTTTTCTCTTTAATTCTTTCATCACATTTCCTCTTTGTTTGACCATTTATTCACTTAATTATGCTTTTGTTCTTTGTAACTGTAAGTCAGTGGCTTACATTCTGACTTATTCATTTATCTCTTTTCTCCATGAAAACATTTTCACGTGGGGAGTTAAAATGTATTTTTCTTGGTTATACACAGCTTCTCTTTTCCAGCAATTTATTTCAGTTGTTTATTGATTCTATCTGTTGGAAATCCATGTCATCATTTCATGAAACATCATCCATCCAGGCTGTTAGGACAGAGCATGTCAACATACTACATACTGCTTCCCAGTCTGACCTGTTTTCTTGTTAACCTGATGCTACAGTAGTCACAGCAGGCCTGCACAGCTCTCCATCTGGGCTGCCTGTGTGTGTGTCTTTCTGTGTGTGTTTTTGCACTTGAGTGTGTGTTTGTGAGTGTATGTGTGTGAGAGTGACCCTGGACCCAGTGTCCTGTCAGCTGTTGGAGCTGTGCTGCACATTAGTCACATGACAGCCCTCAATCTGGCCCTTCCAGACCGCACTGGCCTCACCAGCCACAGGACACATGCACATTATACACACACACCAAAGTACTCTGTGTCTTATGCGTGGACATCAATACTGAATACACGTATATCTACACCGTAATAACTACCACCTTGAATGTCTTTTTATGGGGAGGATTTCACACACATGCTGACACACTGTCATAAAGGCTCATACCCTACATCTGCTGTATGTGTGTGTTATGTAGTTTAGCAACAGTGTGGTGTGGGTGTGTTTTGTGCCTCGGGCTGTTTGAGCTCCTGGAGTCCAAGCCCAGTGTAGCGGTTAAAGTCCTGCTGGACGGCCTCAGTCAGGCTAAGTGAGGTTACACTGAGACAGTTGCAGCAAGATGAAAAAGAAAACTCTTGATGAATTGTTTTCAGTTGTTCGTCTGACTGCGAGCCGTACGAGGCTCACTCCTACTGATTGGTCAGTGTAATGTTGTGTCACAGACTATGTGGTTCAGAACGACGCTCACCACGTAACGGCAACCAGTGACCTCTGTTGCATATCATACCCCTCTTTTTCTCCCTGTATTTCCTTCAGTAATCCTATTGTCAAATAAATAGCAAATACAAATTGTGTATTGTGAATGGCCTACGGTATACTGTATGACGTCAGTTATTAAATTAAACCTTTTTACTCTCAGAATTAATAAATAATACCAATAAAAACAGTCCTGAAATAAATTTTGCCTTCATGAATGTTTTTTAGAGCAGAGTTGATTGAACTGATTATTTTGGAGGATGTAGTTTGTGGTGCTGTTGAACCGTCACTGATATAAATGAATGATAGAAACACCTGTTAATATAACGCAATACAGTTAAACTGCACCAAAAACAACATCCTCCAAAATATTCATACAGTTGAATCAACACCTCTATAAAACAGTTTCACCAAATACTATTATTATTATTAACTCTGTCTAATTTATTACATTCTGTATTTTATTACTTTCTATTGTCTTACTTTGTGAAGCATTTTGTGATGTGTTCTACAAATAATTTGTTGCGTGGCACATGGTACACTGGTAAGGTGCATTTTTAACATCTGTATTGTGTGTGCGTGTGTGTGTGTGCGTGTGCGTGTGCAGAAGTGAGATGGAGCAGCTGGCCCTGGAGAAGCAACACCTAGAAGAGACATTAAAGAGTCTGAGAGCTCGCTGCGCCGACATGGAGGAACAGTGTGTCCAGCATGGTCGCATGCACCAGCGCATGAAGGACAGGTATGTAAAAACACACAAACGTTTTTACCCCCCCCCCCAACCACTGCACTTATTTGAATGAAAAACTGGCACATGTATCTTATGATTGTCTATCAAAGTGTGTATTTTGATGCATGACTCATAAAGAGATCAAATTTTTCTGTTATTAAAATAACGGCAGTCTTGTTGCTGCTGTTGATGTTCCTTTCAGTTTGCAGAATCTGGCTGCAGGCCTTACAAAAGAAAGAAATAAGTGCAGTTTTCTTCACAATCTGTCCTTAACCAGTCCATCTTCTGCTCATCTAATGTAAGAATTGTTTTATTTTTTGTTGACACAGTAGTTTTTGTCATCATCACTTTACTCTCCTGCTGTCTGTGCAGTGGCAACAGTATCTGCTTCATCAGGCTGCAAACTGTTCTCTGATCAAAAAGCACAATTTATTTCTATAAAGCAATAGAAAGAATAAACTAGTGATAGACTCCCATGGCATTACTTGTGATGATCCACAGACTGTAACTGTATTCACGTGTGAATATTTAACAGCCAAACAGATATAACGTGCACTAGGTGAAACACAGAATTAGGGTTAGGTTTTAAAATGAGTGCTTATATATCAGACTGATCATTAATTGCTCTGTTGATTCAGAACAAATCATGAATACAAATTGAAGATAAAAAGCAGATCATTTATGATGAACTGTGACTGGTTTGGTGTTGACTAACCAAAATAATACCTGATGGGGTAGTAAACTGCAGATTGAGTCAACCTTATAAAGCCTTTCTAGCACAGCTGACGGTATCTTGAATATTTGCTTTCTTAGTCTTCTATGACATTGAACAGAATATCTTTGGGGTTTGGACTGTTGGTTGGATAAAACAAGCAATCTGAATGATGTCAATTTTGGCTTTGCGAAGTTGCGATGGGTTTTTGTAAAATGTTTTCATATTTTATCGATCTTCATCGACTAGTCAAGAAATGAATCAACTGATCAATATTGCAGACAGTCATTAGTTGCAACCATGCAGTGCTAATGTTATAGGTACAACATTTATCATTCCACTGAGGACATTTTTCAGAGCATTATATAGTATAATGCATCATTTTAAACTTTTGTGAAACTCATTTACACATGCAAAAAGCAAATATATTTCTCTGCGTAGCAATTCCGGAAACACTGACTTATAAAAGTTGCAGCTAAAAGTGAGTCCATCTTCGGCTTATACTACAGTATCTGTATGTGTGTGTGTGTATGATGTATCCCTAAGTGTGGAGCCCAGTTGGTGTGTGTCTCCACAGGGCGCCTGGCATACAGCCTGGCTCTACCAATGTGGGCGAGGGTGTGTGGGTGTTGTTGCCCCACGCTGCAGGATCTCTACCCCAGTCGCCACCCCACCCCCAACTACACCTTTCTCTTACACAAAACCAAACACACACACACACATTCACCCTTTTCTCCTGCTCCATCACTGACACTACATATTGTCTACCACCCACCGGTGTTAACCTGCCGACAGTCAGACGCTGCCAAAAAACAAAGTTTACCAAGTCACAGCTGTCTCCTGGTTGTGTGTGACTCTTTTTGTGTGTTTCATAGAAGGAAAAACAATCCAAGTTGTCAAGGAGTGTGAAGTATGAATATTCTGTATGTTTCCGCGCATATGTTATAGTGGTATTTTTATGTGTGTATGTGTGTGTGTGTGTATTACATGTTCTCAGGAGGTTTAGCAGAGTAGGAATCTGGCTGCCAAAAGTGGATTGGCTGGGAAGTTGGCACCTAACTTCTCTCTTCTCCCAACTGAACCACGATAATCACTCTTGGCATTTAGTGAGTTTTATTTTCTGCTTTGACACTTACTGGGTTGATGAATCCTCCTGATATTTAAATATCTCTTGAGTTCAGTTCTACATGAGGTCACTTTTGGAGTTACTGTCAAGCCGCTTGACCAAATTTTGTGTTTCATGTTTGGAGCTAACTCTTGTGGTAGGACGTGTGCATGTTTGAAAATGCATTTATTAGTTTTTTGAGCATTACATTTAGGTATTTTTGGCATTTATGTGTTAAGTTTAGGGTGCTTTATTGTAAAGAGGCGCCGCACAGAGATAAGGGAGAGACTGGGAGGCGAGAGAGATATGACTCACGTTTACAGTGATCCACATTCCAGCTGGTACTTGGTTTTTCAGTATGTGGTTGTATTTCTGGTACTGATTGTACTCCGGGGGCAAAACTAGAAAACTGGAAAACCTGCCACAGATACGTTCTTATATTGGTTTTAGCTTAAACAACAACAAAAAAAAAAGATCCAGATTTTGTGTCTTGCAGTTTATGTAAGAATTAAGCTGTAGATGCCGGATTGAACTTTATGGATCTCCGTTCTGTGTGTGTGCACGCAGTTATATTTATGTCTGTATATTTGTGAACAAGCAAGAGTACGTCATATGGCACCGTTCTCGTACTGAACTGCATGCATGTTCTTGTTATCCCCAGTGTGTGTGTGTGCGTGTGTCTGTGTGTCTGTGTGTCTGTGTGTCTGTGTCCATACATTGGGTATATATACGTTGGTCCCTGAGGGCCCTGAGCACTCGTTGGGCACCCTGTCGCGCTGCTCGAGGGTTAAGGTGTACGTGTTAACAAGCTGGTGCAAGTGGGTTCAATATCCAGCGCCCCGCCCCTCCGCACAGCCTCTCCATCGGCCTGCAATCTGTGCTGCGAAGAGCGGCAACAGCGCACCACGCACAAAACATTTGGAAAATCAGCTTGATTTATTTTTACATGGGCAAGCTGATTGCCAAACTACACAGGGGTTTTAGCACACAATGTTTTGCTTCACCACTTAATTATTTATTTCACCATGTCTGTGTTGTTGCTTTTTGGTTTTTTTTGCCTGGAAATGAAAGGATGGACTGGGAGAGTGGAGAGATGGAGGAGAGCACCGAGTTAGGGAAGAGCAAAGCCAGTTACTGTAAATGATAAATTTAAAGGTTATACGTGTTTTTATGAGTAATCTGATTCAGGAATAATACATTACATTTTAGTTTATTAAGTTAAAAGTATATTTGACATGAGTGAGCACAATTGGAAATGTTTGCATATGTAGATTTTAATTTGATTGGTGACATTTTATTTAGTGATTTTGCACTTTTCTGGTGCTTATTCTGAGGTAAAACAAGCAAAAGTTGAAGTCTCTATTAACTTAGTAGTAGTTAAAAATGGTGAGAGCTAGTTTGTCAGTGAGGGAAGGTTATGTTTGTGAGGAAACTTGTTGTATCATACTTATTTTTACAATTTATTTAATTCTGAATACAGAGATCTTTTATGCACAACTAACAGAATCTGTTCTGGTATTTTCAAATATGACCGGTCATTGTGTCATTGGTTTAAGTAATTTAACATCTTGATAAAATCCTGATACAAGCAGAAAGCTTAGTGCAAATCAGTCAAGAGAGAAACATGTAAGATGTTAGTGAGAACCACTGACACAATCCAATCAGAAATATGTTGAAGCCTGTGAAGGATATTACGGCTCTTGAAATATTTCCTCCCTGTGTGCAGTTTTTAGTAAGTCCAAACAATCTCTGAAATAATAATAATTTAAAAATGATATCTTAAATATCTGTTTTGCAGCACGGTTCTTTGTGATTCAATAAAACACCAGAGTGGGACACAGTCAGACTAAATGTACGACTGTCTGCGACACTGCACTACAGCGTGTTGTATTGTTTTTTTTACAATTTATTTTCTTGGGGTTCACCTTTTAAAAAAAAAAAAAAAAAAATTAAAAATTATTTCACCTTTTGTGTATAAAACATAATTTATATCTATATAACAAGAAATAAAAACGTTTCAATCCGTGTGTATAAAAATCATTTTTTTTTCCTGAATGATGTTGGGGAGAGAGAGAGAAAGAGAAAAGTTTTCTGTGACTTCTTTGCCGTTTATTTTTTGTTCATACTTAAGATTTGAATCCACCGTCTCTCAACTGTCCTCTCGCCTGCCCCCTCTCCTTCCTTATTAACCCACCATCTTCTTCTTATCTCTTTTCACTTTCCTCTTTGCCCTTCTCTCATTTTTCAACTTAACTCCTCTCCTCTCTTTCTCCTCCTCCCCTCTGCATTCTGTACCAAACACCACGCAACCTTTTCTCACCTCACAGCTGTTCGCAGGCTGTTTCACCAATTATCACTATGCATGTACACACCGAGGTCACATACACATACTCTCTCTCTCTGTCACACACACACACACACACACACACACACACACACACACACACACACACACACACACGTAAAACAGACCAACATAACACCAACGTTTGCTTAACCACACATAGTGACAGCAGAGAGTGTGTTTGTCAGCCCTGTGTGTGTGTGTGTGTGTGTGTGTGTGTGTGTGTGTGCATGTACTATATGTTTATGTGAGCGCACAGCTCACTGTGCAGCCCTTTAAGGAGAGCAGCAACATATACGCAGATGTGCCTGTAGATCCACAGGCTTCACTGGGCCATATGGCCTCCACGAAGAAAGATGGTGCGTGCGTCTGGAGGAGAGCAGAGGAGGGAGGGAAGGATGGAGGAGGGATGGAGGGCCATGTGGGGTATGAGCTGTGCAAGCAGTTGTTGAAGTATGTATGCCTGTGGATGTGTGTATGTGTGTATGTGTATGTGTGTGTGTTTGCACCAGAGGCTCCAGGAGATTGGTTAATGGAACAAATGGTCGCGGCGGGCCGGGGAAGAAGGAACAGGCTTGCTGCTACCGCGGGCGGACAGCGAGCCCCGGGCGAGGGCTGCTTCATCTGGGCTCCTGCCACACACACACACACACACACACCCTCTGTCAAACCCTCTTCTCTCCTCATCCCCCACCCCCCAAACACACAGTGTGCTGCCATGCCCCAGAAGCAAAAGGACGCTCCTCGCAAAACTTTTCATTTGCAAATTAAGTTGGCAGAGGCTGGGCAGAAGAAACAGGACAGCTTTCATTTGTTGTGTGTGTGTGTGTGTGTGTGTGTGTGTGTGTGTG